CAAAAAAAAAAAAAAAAAAAAAAAAAAAAAAAATAGGATTCCATGATACAGAGACAATCAGCAGATGCCTTTTTTCTGTTTTTCTTTTTCCTTTGATTATCATTTTCTGTGGTAAATAGTTTAGTGAATTTGCTTATTTTTTGGTACTGGGGATTGAACACTGGAGCTTGTGCTTGCAAGGCAGGTGTTAGTGGCACCACTGAGCTAAATCCCTGGCCCTGAATTTGCTTTTAAAAGACAGTACTTAATAGGGTTGAAATGCATGTTGTTCACAAAATTCCTCCTTTTCCTTCCTTGTAACTACACTTCCACTATGGTAGTTTATTTCCATTTCTGTGTAATTTACCTTCATTTCTTGAGGGCAAACACTATCTTATATTCATTTTTATATTTTTGTGACATCTAACTTTTGAGTTAAAAAATGAAAATCTTGAATTCAGTTTGTCTTTTGCCACTTGAAATAGCAAGAAGGTAACAAATATACCCTTTTTATAATTTTAGTGGATATTTGTACAAATTGCGACAGTTTGTAGTTCTAATATTTTCCTAGATCTAAAGGTGAACCTGATCCCCTACATCTGTAAAGATGTAGCAGAGACTTACTATATTCAGATTTGTCAAGCAAATCTAATTAGAACGGTGGATTCTTTTAACTGCCTCTATACTGTATTCTGTTAAATAACTGCCTCTATATTAAAACTCTAAAAGAAATAGTGAATCATAGGAAGATTTATAATTGCTTTATAATTAAATGGAACTAGGAAAATCTGAAGTGGCAAAATTTTAGAATTTTAGTAGAACTAGTGTATTATTCAATAGATGAAACAGCAGTGCAGAATACTAGAGGTGGATGGGTTCCTAGAAATCACCTGCTAACATCTTTGTCAATAGGATACTGAAGTTTAGGAAATCAATCCTTGGACCAGGGTAATAAGGCAGCAGTGCACTCATTGATATTTAACTAATGTGTGCTCAATAAATATTTTTGTAAGTAGTGAATGACACATATAGTGAGTCGTTGGAAATTGTGTATACCTTACAAAAGTTATTACTAAATAAAATAACCATGAATGTCTGTATTAGAAAACAGAATTTTTATATTTCTTTAAAAAATTGTACTTTGAGAATAAGGGATTAGAAGACAGTACTTTTAAAAACAAAGATGAAATAGAATAGGTTCTACTTAGCTTTGTTTCCAGAAGCACTGACTATGTAATTGGAAGGTATCTTTGGATAAGCTTTATGAAAACTTTTTCAAGTTCAAAGAAGATTTCAGCTGTAGTAGCTGAGGGGTCACTTTAAAAAAAGAAGACTCTATATTAAAATGAAATGTGTCCAAGTTTTAAAGAAAAGATATCAGAGTTTGCAGATGATCCTAAAATTGGAGCTAGGGGAAATAATGAGGAACAATGCAATCAGATTCAAAAAAGATTTGGATTGTTTAGGTGATTGGGCCAGCAGATGGCAAATGCAGTTCAGTGTAGACAAATGTAAAATAATTATCTTAGGAACAAAGAACCAATCATACAGCACACTGATCAGGAAAAAATTTGTGAGTTATTGTGGGAAAACCATTGAAACAGTTAACCCGGTGCACAGCTGCAGCAAAAAAGGCAAGCAAGAAACCACATTAGCAGACGAATAGAATATAAAGCAAGAGGCAATACTTCATAGTGTATTAAGAAACTTGCTAGACCCCATCCAAATTAGTCTAGTATTGGTTGATACAACTACTTTAGGAAGAGTAAATTTTTGCTTTGTACTAGCAGTTATACCAGACAAATGTAATCATGTCAGAAATGTACACTACTTTTCAGTTTGAAAATTTTTGAAGTTGTGAGCAAGGTACAAAGTAAAGGCACTTCAGGTTGTTCCACTACCTAAAATAGGTCTTAGTAGAGAACATCTGTGGTTTCCACTGCCTAAGGCCTTAGCAAACACCTTTCTTGTTAGATAGGAATTTACCTCTCACTTCTCAAGACTGAAGTAGCTTAAAAGGTGGCATGAGGTCCTTGTGAAGGTTGAGCACTGTGTCTTGGTGGCCAGAGAGCATGGACATGTGACCTAAGAGCTGCTGATGTGATGGTTCTTCCTGGCTTATTACTCTTTGATGCAAGTAGATAAGTTACCAGCTTCATTGTGGGCTATAGAGGCAGGAATTTTTCTTCATTTTGCCATCCTTGGTTCCTGTCCAAACTTGATTCTTTAGCCTGTCTCAGTGTTTTTGGTTATCCAGTACCTAGGCAATAAATTCCTTTTTTATTTAGGTTAACCAGAACATGTCTATTTTTTATAATCAGGCCTTAACTGGTACAATGGCAGTGTTCTGTTGTTATTCTACAACATGCTTGCATTATTTGGAGTGTTATCTTTTAAATCTTCTTCTTCTTCTTCTTTTTTTTTTTTTTGTATGAAAAAGAAACCTAAAATGCAAATCTCAATCTCTCTCTCTGGAAGAAAAGCAATAATTCGTGTCATCAGCATCTATAGTCCTCTTGCAAAACTTATATTTATCCATACAATTGAATAGCATCACTGTTAAAAATAACCTTTGGTGTCTCATATATTTGTAAGAAGAGTATTTTAATTTCTTTATATAAGATATGTATACATATTTTTTCATTTTATTTTACTTTTAAATTTTATTTTTATACTGAAGACTGAATCATTTTATTTTGGTAGAAACTTAAATCCACCAACTTACCTAACTTCCTTACTGTCACATGCGTGATAGATGGTAAAATCAGGAATATTTTCCCAAAGTTTCATATTCCTTCATTATTGCTTGTATATTACTGTTGATTAATGAATATTTACTGAAAGCAATTTTGGGAAAACTATAACTTGAATTAGCATTTGTGGATTATATTTTAAGTTTGTGGTGAATTGAAGGCTAATATGTAGAATTCTCATTTCTCATCATCATATTGACTCAGTAATATTACTTTAGTATACAGATGCTTCAAGCACAGCCACATGCATAGTAAAGTGAGAAAGAAAAAATTTCTTTTGGGCAGCAGTGTGCAGGGTTATTCCCTAGAAAAAAATTTGAAATAGTTTGTACTTGGGTCCTTTTCATCATCCTGAAAGTGAAATCTGATGTAGGAAGTAATAATGGAGATGAAATATGAACTTTTATGTCTCCTAACCTGTTAGATGTTTGATATGCTAGGCATTTATTCTCTGAAAATTGAAGGATGAATTCTAGGAATAGTGGTGGTTAAGAGTGGGAAGATATTTATTGATAGGCTAGCTCCTGAGATGTAGAAGGGGTCTTGAATGAGTAGCCAGGGACCTTACTCTGCAGGAGAGTTTTATGGTGTAAAACCCACATGGGTACAAAGTGGGCCACAGCCATGAACAATACGGTTACACATATAGGTACTTTGGTAGTAGTGGTCCAGTTGGGAAATAAGTCATGTAACAAGCATGGATAAAAAAAAGAACAAAGACTTATTCTAGGAAATGGTGGGTCCAGAGGTCTTTGGTCATCCACTGGGGTGGCTGATGTCTGTCTAGACTTTATTAGGCCTAGTGTTTGTCCTTTTTGAAAATATAAAAGTATGGTCATCTTGTCTTTATCATTCTCCAACAGATATATCTCTGGCCGCAGTTGTATGTGTTTCGCTTTTGTCTTGAATCTCTTGAGAACCTACCCCTATGTGACTGCTTATACTATTTCTACCTAACTCAGCTGTCTATAATAATTCTATCAGGCAGTTGTTCTTGAACCTCTTACACTTGTGTAATTGTCTGAACTATTATTCTGCCTCAGCACCTATGTGAATCATGGCAGTCATGGGATGTCTTACCTGTTCTAGAGATTATTATGAAGGGCATACTTAGGAACTTAAATGATTCTTTGAAATTTTGCTTAATAATGTTTCAGTGAAGGTAAACATTTCCTGTAATGTTTAGGGACGTGTTTTTGGTATGTTGCATGGTTAGGGATTGCCTGTGTCATAACCCTTTGTAGTAAATAAACTCAATATATGTGGGAAATTAACTTTTAATTATGTGATTTAAGGGTAGTTGAAGTTACAAAGCATAACAGTTAAAGTATTTGAGATCTTTGTAAAATGGAATGCCTTGAATTTTTCTCCTGCATTATATACATGTAGAAAGACATTATTGGGCATAGGTCTGAAGTGGATAATTAAGTACTGCAATTGATATGCCAGACTGCTTAAGACTAATCTGGATATATGCATCCATTTTGAAGTAGAATTAAAATCTGGTAAGAGTTTAACTTCCTTGACCTGCCCAGAAGAGTTTATTTTAGTTTTCCTTTCTGCATGCAGGTTCCTCTCTGGCGTATGTTATTTGCAATTGAACTGCACTGGCTTCTGCTAATGTCCTGGAGGTAAGATAGAAGAAATAAAACTAGGTAGAAAGGAGACCAAGAAATTGAGATTTTAAAATTGTAGTTTAAAAAAAAAAGCTACAGCCAAGCATGGTAAAACACTCTTGTAATCCCAGCACCCAGAAGTCGAGGCAGGGCTATTGCTGCAAGTTTGAGGCCAGCCTTGGCTACATAGTGAGACCCTGTCTCTAAAAACAAAACAAAATAGAAAAAAAAAAATCCAAAATAACACACACACACACACACACACACACACACATAAAAAAAAAAAAAAAAAAAAACAAAAAAACACACACACACACACACACACACACACACACACACACACACACACACAAATCTGAAGCTTCAAGACAAGCTATTTGCTTGCTTTTGGAGGTTACCCTATTAGTGTGACAGCCTTCCTTCCATCCTCACAGAGAATAATGTTAAATTTCTAAAGGCCCTTTAAGTTGCTGGGCACTAGACCCTTTTCACCTGCAAATTTCCTTTCTCTCTGGCCCAGAAAGGCGCTACATTGGAAACAGTGTGTTTTAACTCAAAACCCATATCTATATCTGCACTTCAAACTATGTAGATGGTTTGCACTGTAACCAGGCCTAAAAGTGAGAATACACATGTGAGATCACCTATATTGAAAGCAACCTTTAAATTTTCCCTATTCTGGCTTGTAACTTGCCTCATTTCTTTGAGCATCCTGTATCTATCTACCTCTAATAAATCCTTTTTTTTCCGCTTTTGCTGACACATCCTATGAATTCTTTTTCTGAGTCAGGAGTCAGTAAATCTGCAAACTTACTTTAAAAGGGTGGGTTAAGTTCCTTTATTTCATCCTCGGGGACCCCTCAGGCCCATCCTGGTGACAACCTCACTACCTCCTGTGGGGCCCTACTAATCTTGGCTGCTTCTGGTCAGTTCTTGGGTAAACAGGCAGAGATAATAGGAATTATGCCTTCCCTTTCTATAGAGTGAAGATGGGGTGGAAATGAGGTCTTTGGCCAGTGCCTGCTGTATATACCTCTAATGAATATTTAGAGGCTGTATTTTATGTGTCAGAAAACTATTTCCAAAGAAGAATGGCTTAATTTTGTAGTGAGATTTTCCTACATTTAAATCTGGTTGCTTGCTTGCCTGTCTGCTTCCATATTTCACCTTCTCTTTACTTGGTTTTTTTTTTGTTTGATAATTTTGGTTATTTCTTTTCTTTTTTTGTTGTTCTGGGGGTTGAATCTAAAGCTTTGTGTGTTCTAGCCAAGCACTCTATCACTGTTATATCTCCACTCCAATTTTTTTTATATCTTGATCAAAGAAAACAATCATGTTAGAAAATTCCATGTAAAAGTTAATTATATTAGTTGTTTCTAAAAGTACTGGATTATTTTACTAGGAAAGGTTAAATTGGATTTAAAGGATTTTTAATGTTAAAATAGAATTTTATACATCTGTTTCCTTTTTCACTTAACACCATGTTATGAGCAGGAATCTACATTTCTTTTAGGGGTTGTATAACATTCTCTTGAGTGGCTATGATATAGTTGGTTTAACAAGTTCCCATTGATGCCTGTTTGGGTCATTAGAATTTTTATAATCATGTACAATACTGCACTCAGGAGAAAAGTATCTTGTTTTAAGGTACATTTTGTAATGCTATTGATGATTTGTAGTTATTTTATAATTTAACTCAACATTGTGTGCCAGTTATTCAGCTATTTTCCTCATATTTGAGTATTAAATTGTATATTAAAAACATCAACTTTATTTCCTGGCATATTGCCATTGCTTTTTTCTGTATTCTTTCTGTGTTTTTTAAAATTAATGAGTTGAGATTTTGTTTTGCTCTGTTTTATTTTTGTGGACTTATAACTATTTTTAATTTTTATGTAATCAAATATACATTCTGCATTAAATTTTTATTTTTTTTTCTTTTTTTGTGGTACTAGGGATAAATGTAGTAAACATAGCTTTTTTTAAATTATTTTTTTAAATTTTGAGACCACATTTTGCTAATTTACCCAGGCTAGCTTCAAACTTCTGATCCCCTGCCTCAGTCTCCAAGTTAGCTGGGTAGCTGAAATTACAAGTGGTTATCACTCTCACTGTGCCCAGCTCATCTTTGGTATTTAAAAATTTAAAAATACATAAACAGTTTTAGGATCCTAGTATTTTAAAATAAAAGCTTTTGGCCATAACTTCTGTGGTTGCGTGTATATGTGTTGGCTTTGTTAGTCCCTGATGTGCACACAAACTCAAAATCACAAATGCAGAAAAAGCATTGGAACTGCTTCTGGTTGACTTTTAATCTTAGCTTCTGTATCTATATTCATTTCATATAGTACTATTCATTCACAGTGTTTTGTCCATGAACTACAGTAACAAAATTTAAATCAGTCTATATGACACATCTGTACATACACAGATATAAATTGAGTATCCCTTTTCTGAAATCCTTGAGATGAGAATTGTTTCAGATTATGAACTTTTCCAGATTTTAGAACAATATTTGCATATGGATCAGAGGTATCTTGGGGATAGGACTTAAGTCTGAACACAAAATTCATTCATGTTTCATATATTCCTTATACACATAACTTGATAATTTTGTACAATAATTTTAAGTATTTTTTTTAAACTGTGAGTATCGCATGAGGACAGGTGTGGGATTTTCCACTTGTGGCATCATATCTGTGCTCAAAACACTTCAGATTTTGGAGTATTTTAAATTTTAAAAGCTTTGGATTATAGATTTTCAACTGGTTTACATATGTGTGCGTATACAGATGAATTACCTGCATTTACTTTTTGTGTCATATGGCAATGTCAGATCACTAAAGCTCCATGCAATTCAACAAATTGCTTTTATTGTCCACCAAGGGGTATTAGAGCTTTAGAAACATTGGTTAGTACAGTGGTGGTGAACCTATGGCACATGTGTTGTTTTTCTTTTAAGACAAAGGATGTTAATGTATGAGTTGTTATTTCTAAACTAAAATCTCAGTATTCAGATTTCATTATGGTGTTGGCACTTTGTAATAAATAAGTTGGTTTTGGTTGCATTTTGGGCACTTGGCTGTAAACCTTTTAGAGCTTCCAGTGATACAGATAGTGTGCTGTGTTGTGGATTAGCCACCATAGGTCTAGTGGATCTTTAATTGAACATTAATTCTCGGGCTGACCAAGATAACAGATGCTTTGCCACCGTAGCTATTCAGAGAAGCCAGGTTCAATCTAAAGGCATTCAAATTAAAATGAATTTGTTAGGCCAACAAACACTTCATAAATTTTAGTCTGCTAATTTAGGCCCATGGTCTAGTCTGATTAGGACTATGGTCTAGTCTAGAGAAGAAAAAAAAAAAAACAAAAAACTACAAATTCATTATTCTGCCACTTTGCTATAATATATTTTAAACAAGCAGTTCATATTCAGGCAGTGGAACATTTAGGAGCATTGTTGTACTTTCTGATCTTTGAGTACTTTCCAGGTCCTTTCCTATGCTAAAATTCTTTGGCTTTGTGACAATTTCTAGCCATGAAATTTAGGATATAAAATTGCCTTACTCATTTTTTTTTCTGATATGATAAGAAATGATGCCTCTGATAGGATCTGAGAAAGAGAACTGTAAAATATTACCCTAGGTGTCCAAGTCACTTTGAAGGCCATTTAAAAGCAGAAAATGAACTTTCTTTTTTTTGTCAAGCTAAGATCATGATGCAATATCCCAGCAATGGTTTCTAAACAGAGCATGTTGATGAAAATTACACAGAGACAGTTTAGTGTCTTTGAGGAAATATTGGTAGCTTTTGGATAACTATGGAATCTTCTTCCTCTGGGTATGCATACACAAAATTGTTTTTATGAGCATATTTTCCAATTTTAGGGATAAGAATGTATGTACCTGTGAGAGAGATTCTGTGATATATACGATTGAGGCTCACTTTGGTGACTTGGATAATTGTTGTAGAACCATGGAACCATTAGGCTCCAGATGGAACTTTAATTTGGTTTCGATTGAGCAGAGTTTCTTTGCAGAGTCTCTAAGCATCTGTTTTGGAAACAAATGACAATATTCAAGATTTATACAAATTAACCCATCCTTGGGTTATAATTCAGTGTTTCTGTATTGAGGGATATATTATAGACAGTTTTATGCAATCAAGTAAAAATAGCCTAAAGTATTTATTTGTCAGTTAACATATTTTTTGATTGAACTCTTAATGGATTTAAGAGCACTTATATTAAACTTCAAAAGACTGTAAATTGTAAAATATAAAGGTATCTTATAGTTTAAAATAACTTTCATAAACTTGTTTTTAAGAGACTATTTTAAAGTATGGGGGCTTCATCTTTAAATAACAGAAACTCTCAAATAATTTGTCTTATTCCAAAATGAAGTTTACTTTCTCCTCTACTGGAAATTACCAAAATAGGAGAGGCTGTAAGGTGTGGTCTTTAAACATTCTATGAACAAGGTCCAGTTTGGTTTCTTTGGCTTTTGTCTTTATGCTGGTTTCATTCATGTTTATAGAATGGCTACCTTCAGCAGCTGGAGCAATAAACATCCTTTAGTTCTATCAGAGAAACTAGAATTTCTGTCTTCACGGTAGACTGAGTTGTTTTAGTTTATTGGCCCTATTTAAACACTACATTCATTTTTAGACTAACAACAATCATTTGTTATCTGACTTTCTCAGCCAATCACCAATAGGAAGGATGGTATTCTAATGAATATTATAATGGTTGATTCTCAGAGCCAGCTCTGAAACTGGGGAGTAATCTGGGGAGGACCAGCTTTCCTGAGTCATGGGAGGAAGAAGCTAAAAATGGATAATGGAACAAATTACAAATTTTGAATCCATTCTTTGATTAAGGTTTTAATTTTTTTCCTTGAACTTTCATTAGTAATATGGCTTTAATTATTCTATTTATAGAACACAGATGAAAATTATATTTAGATATTTTATAATTCCTTTGGCTTTCCTTATTATGTATAGAGATACTGAAA